AGTCTAGTGATAGCTCCCATTAAAATCTCGCCACGATTCGCATGCCAAATTTTTCAACGACGTAACAATAGATATCGAAAAGGTTATACGTGAGAGAAATAAATATTACGATGTATAAATGAGATGAGAGTATAGCTTTTGTGTATTTATGATTGATAGTTCTTTTGTTGTTTCTCCGCTTTTTGGAGCATCGTGAATTTTTCTCCAGTAAAATCTATTCATGAATTATTTTGCGCAAATTTTATTTATTTGTCCGCAAATCTTTTATGTACATGTATGTAGAAAATCGGATAGCGACGAGAGAGCGTTTATTATAATATTTTATTACTACTGTTATTATATATATTGCTATAATTATTATCGCTCCCGTATCTATTCATGTTATCAAGATAGAAAACGAATACGTAACAATTCAACCCTGAAACTTTTGTAGATTCGATCAATACTCGTTAGATCTGCCGAAACAATCTTGTATTCGCATCTTGTGTAATAAATAGTGTTGTAATGATATATATACATACGTACATACTTACAGCGTTAGCATTAAGAGAAAATATCAGCTTTGAAAGAATTGTGTGTCTTTATTTTATCATGCTGGTCTACTGTACAAGAATAGGACAGTTCAAGTGCCTTTTTGTGAAAGAGGCCATTTGTTTCGAGGATTGATTTAATGTTACGAAATTATTAGACTTTGCAGACGTTATTAATAAGTTGTCTCGGTTTCTTAAATTTCTCCCTGAAAAAAAAATACTGTAATATTTTTAACATACACAAGGAGAAAGAAAAAGAAAGTCTGTACAAATTTGCAATCCTAGAGAGATGTTCGAATAAATTTTAATTAATCCTTTCAAACCCGAAATTTACATTATACTATGTGCAATAATAATTATGTGATTATACTTTATCAAAATATTTATCGAGTGGAGATGATGCAAGATAATGCATTTAAATATTAAGAACGGATATGACAAAAAAATCCCTTTCGCTAATTATGCACTAAATTTTTTTTATGGTATACAAACACAAGTATATTATTTATTTTGCATTTATGAGACAAAAACAAAAAAAAAGAAAAAATTGAAAGTATCAATGTATTACTAACTTTACTATCTCAAGTATATTTGGCAAGATGCTTAAATATATGCGCATATATTGGAAAAAGTAGTAAACAATAGCTTTTCTTCTTATCCAAAATATAAAAATATACTTTTCTATCTTGTGTAAGTGTAGAGGACTTGACAAAGATAGATATATATAATAAATACTCCACATCTGTTTGATAATTAAAATGTTAAGAAAACTCAGAAAATTTGATTTTTATTTTATTACTATCAAAGTATAAAAATATATAAAGATAAACAATGAAACAATAAAAGTCAATAGTAAAATAAAAAAAAAATATTTTTGTACGTCACATTAATCTCATTATCTATAGATAGAGGAACAAATCCCTTATAACATTCAGATTGACAAATATTTATCAGTATGCATAATAAGCAAAAATTTAGCGAAAAGGAAATTTTTATTTTGTCAAAAATAATGTTTAATAACATATATGGGTTATACGTGTCCGTTAGCAATTTTTCCTTCAGTGTTGGAAGATAAATTTAAATTTGTTTCTCATTTAAAGGAAAAAATCATTTATATTGTTTATACTAATATAAAAAGGATTTTATTAAAGCTTGAAAGATTTGAAATAATGATATATATGTGAACATGAATGATCCATGTGTGTCATTTAAAAATTAATATTTTATATATTGATACATAACGCATTTTAGAAAAACAAAAATAGATAAATAAGGCAAAAAATTGTCTACAATGGAAATAAAGATTCATTATAATGGGCGCGTAACTGATCATTTCTTTCTATCTCGTATTTGATAATTTTTTTAAACATTTACTCGTTACAATCGAAAAGTTGACGAAATTATCGTGTCGTACATCGATTACCACAAATTTTTTTATTTTTATTTTTGCAAACTTTATATCATATATCTAGCAAAAACCGTAGCTTTTCACGAGCAAAAATAAAATAAAATAAAATAAAATTGATCAGTGTTGAAATAAGAAATGATTGCAAGCGCGACATGCCTCAATTAAACTTATTTTTTTTTAGAACTTATTACAAGGGTTTATGTATATATTATATTCTAGAAATCTGTCGTTATAGGCTTCGTGAAGCCTCACATGCTAAACGTAATCCTCTCGTCAAACAATAGTAACAGTTTTGTGTCATGCGTTTTTACTGATTCCTGCATGGAGAAACAACGCAGGTGATGAAATATAGGGAATCAATGTTACGCTACGTTCGCAAATTAATTTGTAAATGATAATTTAGATTTCTTTGGGCATTTTTTAACAGAACGGTATTCAGTTCAAATATTACATTGACAAATTTGTTAAAAACTTTGAAGCGCATCTTTCAGCATTGCGGCTTCTTAATATAAAAATAATTGAACAAGTGAAGAGCAGCAGCCAATGAGATGACTACGAATCCTACGGTGGATAAGAAGAATTCAATTCGAAGATTTCGATTTGCATCGAACGGAAAGAAAACAGCAGAAAACGTCACTATGAAGAAAACAAACAATTTAAATAAAAGATAAAGACAAAAGGATTAAATTAAGCGGATAAAAAGTAGAAATATTATTACAAAGCAAAAAAAATTGAGAAATACAGGATTTTTTAAATTCTTACGGAAACGCGAGAAAGTGTCATTAAAAAAATTCAAATATTTTAAGATCACATATACTATTAATTCGTATTAGATTGAAGATTTCTCTTTTTAGGAGGCTGTAAAATTGTAGAACCGTATTTTCACCGCACCGGCGACGGTCGGTCGGTAAAGCAGGGAGCGCGATGATCGGTAAGACAGGCAGCGCCGCGCCGTTACGTTCTCCGTGCCTCCTCCCCGGCGGGTGGCGGCCGCACCTCCTCCTACTCGGCGATTTTAATCTCGTTAGCGGACACGTGCGCGCCCCCCGCGCCCTACGGTGCTGGTGATACGCAGGCAGCTCAGCCACGAGTGAAACGGAGGAGCTGGCCGTGGATGCCGTGTCGCGGGGCTTCACCAATCTGGTTTGGTCTAACAAGATTCACGGCTCGCGCGACGCTTCATAAAAACTGCGCGCCGGACGGGCGCGGCGCGTGTCGCAAGGAGTTGCTCCGCTCGAGAGGTGTGGGCGCTC